AAATGGGACTTGGGCCAAAACCAGTTTGGCTCAGTGGTAGAGCGTCGGTCTGCGGACTGAAGGGTCCCAGGTTCGATTCCGGTCAAGGGCATGTACCTTGGTTGCGGGCACATCCCCAGTAGGGGGTGTGCAAGAGGTAGCTGGTCGATGTTTCTCTCTCATCGACGTTTCTGGCTCTCTCTCTCCCTTACTCTCTGTAAAATATCAATAAAATATATATTTTTTTTAAAAATGGGACTTGGAAAGGACCTTATAAACTACCTGTGTATCATAAAACATTCTCATTATCCTTCCTCTTCTTTCCTTTATGAGTTGCCACCAACAGCACTTATTGGCCAGAATTCCAAGGCTATAGACATCTTTCTTAATAAACTCCTATTTGAAAGATGAAATAGAGAAGGGCGGAGACTGGGATTCCAGGACACAGGCTTTATTGAAGAGTACTACAGCCGGCTGCTTCCAGAGAAAGAGAGCGAGGGCGAGGGCGAGTGTGTGTGTGTGTGTGTGTGTGTGTGTGTGTGTGTGTAGGGGTACAAGCACTTTTTAAGGGGAGGACAAGGGACGGGGCTTAGGGCACTCAGCACATGCTGATTGGTGGTTTCATATAAGGCCCATGGGACTTAGGAATTGGGGGCTTAGGGTATTTGGCAGGTGCTGATTGTCCGGCTGCAGGTGGAGTTTATGTCTGTCCATCAGTTGGACGAAGGGAGAATCTATCACTATTTACTTAGGAAATAAATGTTCCCTTTACCTAAACATATTAACACGTAAGCTAGTGTTTAAAGGGTTAGCAAAGTTATATAAGTGAGTCCACAATTATTCAAGCTACTAAAGATCTATAGTACTGTATAATTCAAAAAATAGTTCTGTTGGATTTTTAAAAATATATATATATTTTATTGATTTTGTACAGAGAGGAAGGGAGATAGTTAGAAACATCGATGAGAGAGAGTCATCAATCAGCTGCCTCTTGCACACCCCCCACTGGGGATGTGCCCGCAACCAAGGTACATGCCCTTGACCGGAATCGAACTCAGGACCCTTCAGTCCCCAAGCCGACGCTCTATCTACTGAGCCAAACCAGTCTCGGCTGTTCTGTTGGGTTTTAAACGTATGTTTCTTTTTCTTGTTAAAAATATGTCCTTCCTAATTATTTTATGCTGAGACCAATAGTAGAATAAATATGCAATCCCTAAGAGCGTACAAGTCACACGCTAGGTAGGGAAAGAAAAGAAAACAGGCATTTGTTACAGAAAACCCACACATAATACACATAAGTCAGCCCTGCCAGTTAAGGCCATATTCAGTTCCGTTTGCACAAGGCAGATAGCACAGAGAGGAGGCTAGTCCTCCAACCTTATTTGCCAAGTGTCTTCCTCTCTCCCTTTTGCACTATTTCTCTATAAAAAAGACCAAAATGCTAGAAAATCAGATGATGCCAAGACCTCTTCTTGGCAAAGTGCCAAAGGAGAGCTATAGGTTGAGGAAAGGAAGAGGAGAAAAGAGAATCAGACAAACCATATACATAAAATAACTCCTGTGGAAGTGATGAAAGACCCAAAAAGGCGCTTGTGATGTGGCCCTCCCCCAAACAATCTCACACTCACACACCTAAGAGGAATGTATTCATTCTTACTATCCATCTCGTCTATGGATGTAAATGGAGAAAATACCAGCTAGCCCATATACTGGGAAGATTAAAGGAAATCTACTTACCAAACATTTACATACTACTTACTCTGTGCCAGGCCCATTGCGTTTTACAAATATTAGCACAGTTAATCCTCCCCACCGCCCTATGAGGTAGATGTATCCTGATTTCACAGATGGGGGAACTGAGGCACAGAGAGAACAAAACTTGCTAGACTGTTGCCCAGTAAATACCTGACAGAACCTGGATTCAAATCTAAGCAGGCTGGTCTGAGCCCACGCTGGGTTCTTTTAGCTGTTGTTTTTTTTATGGATTTCAGAGAGGAAGGGAGAGGGAGGGAGAAACAGTAACATCAATTATTCAAGAGAATCATTAATCTGCTGCCGACGGCATGCACCTCACTGAGGATGGAGCCTGCAAGGCTGCAACCCGGTTGTGTCCTGATCCGGAATCAAACAGTGACCTGGTTCATAGGGGGGTGCCCAACCACTGAGCCACACGGGCTGGGCTGAGCCCATACTCGTTAGCACCCCCTATGAGGCCTCTCTGATAACCTGGCCCCTCATGCAGCGCCTGTTTTGTAGAGGCCTCCAGGAATGGTTGCTAACTCCTCCTCATCCTTATTTCTGTTATTTAACCCATTACTGATCTTCTGAGAAGCTTTCTGCAACTGATAAACACCATCCACTGCCCAGAACGTTAACTTACGCCTAAGCTCTCCTGCCCTCCATCCGCTGACTGGCATGAGCAGGCAGCCCCAGGCTCCAGCAGGAGATGCTTGCCAGGGAAGTTCCTGATCCAGTGTGTGAAGGGGGGTTTGGCCGGGCTGGTTCCCTTCCAACACAGAGACCTTTGGGGCTTGTCTGGGGGGATGAGCTGTCCATCCCTGGGCAGAGGTGTCAGAGTGTCAGAGTCAGACCTCAGTTCCAAGGAGACCCATGAGGTTATCATGGGGTGGCTGGAGCATGGGCGGCTGCAGTATGAAGAACCTTCAAATGCGTGAGACCGGGAGAGTCTTAATTTCAAATCTTACCATTTATTTCCAACTACCATCTCATTAAAACAAAAAACAAAACAAAAAAAACCCTAGCCTGTTTGGCTTGGTGGATAGAGCGTTAGCCTGTGGACTGAAGGGTTCCAGGTTCGATTCCAGTCAGAAGCATGTACCTTGGTTGTGGGCACATCCCCATTAGGGAGTGTGCAGGAGGCAGCTGGTCGATGTTCCTAACTCTCTATCCCTCTCCCTTCCTCTCTGTAAAAAATCAATAAAATATGTATTTAAAATAAAAGCATTTTGCCCTGGCCGGTTTGGCTCACTGTCAGCCTGCGGATTGCGGGGTCTCAGGTTGGATTGCTGTCAGGGGCACATGCTGGGTTGTGGGCTCGATCCCCAGTAGGGGGTGTGCAGGAGGCGGCTGATCAATGATTCTCTTTCATCATTGATGTTTCTCTCTCTCCCCTTCCCTTCCATTCTCTCTAGAAAAGATAAAAATAAGCACTTTGGGGTTAGTGTTTCAAGTGAGACAGCAACTCAGGGGGCTCTGTTCACTCTACTAAATGGGAAGCGGAAGCTGGAGAGGCCGCACCGCTCTCGCCACAAGCTCCCCTCCCGCCGGCTGCCGCGGGAGCGCACCCCGCCCGCACCACCCGGAGACCCACCCTGAGGGGCCCGCACGGTGTTAGGGTCAGGGGTGAGGACTGTACATGGCTCACTGCCTTTCAGTTCCGGGACAGAAACCTCGCCTCAAAGAACTTGAGTCACTAACCGCAGCCACCGGCCGGAAGTCACCGCCCCAGCGTCCTTAAGGAGCCCGAGAACAGCGGTTCCGAGAGCCCGCGGGCGCGCGGACTACAACTCCCGGCATGCTCTGGGGCGGCGGAGTTAAGGAGTTAACCCCTCAGGGCCCGCGGCCGCCCAGCGCCCCGCCTCCGTCCCTCACCTGGATCCTGCAGGGTGAGTTTTGTAGGGCTGAGAATGGACTGTCCCCTTTACTTAAGTCGTGTGTGTGTGTGTGTGTGTGTGTGTGTGTGTGTGTGTGTGTGTGTGTGTGTGTGTGTGTGTGTAATGTATTCTAGAGAAATGATGCTGATTTTCCTGAAATGGGACAATTTGCAGTATTGCGTTTCAGACGTTTTTTGGGTGTTTTTGTTGTTGTTGTTGTTGGTTTTTTGCAAGTGGAAGACAGCAGCTATTTTCTGAACCACCGGACCTAAATGGAATCCCTACTCTCTTCCTCAGAATGCTACCTAATCCACCCCTTTCTCCCCAGAACAAAAGTAGCCAGCAACCCCTCCCCTCTCCGAAGGCCGCTGGCTCGCACCCTTCTCCTGCGCCCCCAGCGAGGCTTGTAATCTGGCACCTGCACCAAGGTTTTTGTTATCTCTCCGGTTGGGGGGCGAAAGAGGGGTGTGTACACAGGACCTCCCACTCCTTTAGGATTAGAGATTTCAGAATTTAGGCCCTTTGTCTGTCAGAGCCTGCCCTTCCCCTCAGGGTGCCACCGTGGAATCCCTGCAGACTCGGCTGGCTCGCTACCTTTGTCTGACTTTAATGGCTGGTGGTTTGAGGAAAGGGCTTCTTCCTTGGGAGTGTGGGTGGTGGGTGTCAAATTGGTGGTTGCCCCACCCCCACCCCTAAAACTACATGGCAGCGGAGCCAGTGGGTGCGGGTCACACTCAGTTTTCTATTACTGTCCTTTCTCTGTATTGTGCACAGCTCCAGTTCTGGGCTGGGAGGGAGGAAGACAGTAATTACAAGTATTGGGGATTACTAGGCTGCACGGGGTCAGTTGACGCCCCCTCCTCATCCATGGTGAGGATGCTGGTTTTTTTTCACCCTTTCTCTGCCCCCAGATTCCACTTTAACTATTTCAGTTCACAAGCTCCCCCACCCTTCTGCCTCATCTTCCAAGAGTCTAAAGCTGCTAGAAACAGGGGCTACTCTGAGTCAAGGGGTTGAGGGCCTGGAATTGTTGGATTCCCTTCTTTGCTTCATCCCTATTGCTAGTGTCACTAGCAAGCATCCTGTCCTCCCTGAGAGATTAATTCCTCCATTCTGGGCAGTCTCTGTGTTTTTTCTTTCCTTTTCTGTGGCCCCTAAAGGGGCCATTATTCTGGCCAGCCTTTGGGGCAGGGTAGACAGGAGGGAGAAGACCTTGGGGCAGGAGTCCTGAACCACAGGAGGCCAGGGGAGTGAGAGCAGGCCAGCCTATCTCTCCTCTGTTTCACCCTCCCCACCGCCAACTGGCTTCCTGCCTCTGCTCCCGCCCCTTAACATCCCAGACTCCCTGGCTATTTAAACAGAGATGGGTGCCCCCATCGGCACACTGTCCTCTGGCCACCGGACACCATGCCTCCCAAGAAGGATGTTCCCGTGAAGAAACCAGCGGGACCCCCTCTCGCCAAGACTGCTCCCAAGCCAGCAGTGGGGGCTCCCCCAGCCAAGTCCAAGGCTGAGCCAGCGGCAGCGGCCCCTTCAGGCCCCGAGAAAACCTGGGAGCCCCCTATGGATCTCTCCAAAGTGGTGGTGAGTGCCGGGAAGTGAAGAACGAATGTGGAGGGGGTGGTTCCAGGGTGGGACACAGCCTCGGGAGTGAGGAGGTGTCTAGAAGGTAGGACTCAGTGGGTGCTGCGATGATATTGGGGTTCCTCGTGGCCCATCCTTCAGAAGCATCCGGGCTTACGACTCTGCTAGTATCTTTGTTGTCCCCCCCCTAACCTGTAACACACATGTGTGCGTACACCCGTACACACACCCTGACTCCCCTGCTGGAGGCAGGGGCTGGGAGATGGGGAACATCTGGGTTCCCAGGACGGTTTCAAGGTGAAGGGAGGGAGCTGCTGCCTGGCATGAGCTGACTGTCCAGCTCTAAAGGCCACATCGCTGCACCCCAGCAGGGCAGGCGAAAGAGGACAGACTTGTTAGACAATCACAGCTGGGGGCCAGGAGTAAATTTAGCTTTTGTTCAGCCCCCAGTTATGTGAGGGATGCAGGGCGCAGGGCAGTGGAGGGAGGGGAACAGGTGGCATGGGATTAACCCTGCTCCTAGGAAACCCTCCCCCCTGATAATTCCTCCTCTGGGATTCTCCCAAAGTCCAGATCTGGGAATGGGACTGAGGTGGCTGGGCGCCCCTCCCCAGAAGTCGCTGGCAGTTGGTTGGGAGGAATTGAACGAGCCTTGTGACCCCTCCTCACCTGCTCTTTTCTCCCACAGATCCAGTTTAACAAGGACCAGCTGGAGGGTGAGGAGAAGCTGGTCCCCTGAGCCCGCTGTCTAGACCCAAGCCCCTGGTCAGATTCTCTTTCTCTTCCCCTATTCCCGGCCTGACCATGAAACCCCCCATCCTCACCCCTGTCCTGCCCAGCGCTAACACATCATTCCTGAACTTCCTCTCTGTCTGGGGGTGAGGGGACCCCTGGTCAACACCGGCATCTCTTTATCCTTCAGAGTTCAAGGAGGCCTTTGAGTTGTTTGACCGAGTGGGGGATGGCAAGATCCTGTACAGCCAGTGTGGAGACTTGATGAGGGCCCTGGGCCAGAACCCCACCAACGCCGAGGTGCTCAAGATTCTGGGGAACCCCAAGAGCGATGGTGAGGGGACCGCTGGTACCGTGGGGGTTTTCAGTTTGGTGATGGAACAGAGGAGTGTTGGTAAGGTGACAAAAGATGCTGAGGTGGGTCTCATGACTTCAAAAACTGTCCACCCAGGGGCAGAAAGACATCCTGACCGTGGAACAGGGTCAAAGCCTTGGTGGTTGGGATGGGAGCTGGGTCCTCGGTGACAGCATGGTGACCTCTCCCTCACCTCTCGACCTCCAGAGCTGAAGTCCCGGCGTGTGGACTTCGAGACCTTCCTGCCCATGCTCCAGGCCGTGTCCAAGAACCGCGACCAAGGCACCTACGAAGACTACCTGGAGGGGCTCCGCGTGTTTGACAAAGAAGGGAACGGCAAGGTCATGGGAGCGGAGCTCAGACATGTCCTCACCACCCTGGGTGAGGCCCAGACCACAACTGTGGGCTGGAGGGACGAGAGTGGACCAAAAAGCAGGTTGCCGAGGAGGAGGAGCCAGGGAGGGATTACGGCCCTGGAGGTCATGGGCAGGAGACTGAGAAGGTCAGAGCGGTGGGGGCAGAACCCGAAGGGCTTCTTCCTGCAGAGGCTAACGTGAGAAGGGGCACACATGCCTTCCAAAGGACAGGGGAGCTGAAACCGGTTTGGCTCAGTGGATAGAACATCGGTCTGTGGACTGAAAGGTCCCAGGTTTGATTCCGGTCAAGGGCATGTACCTTGGTTGCGGGCACATCCCCGGTAGGGGATGTGCAGGAGGCAGCTGATCAATGTTTCTCTCTCATAAATGTTTCTATCTCTATCCCTTCCTCTCTGTAAAAAATCAATAAGATATATATTTTTTTAAAAAAGGGCAGAAGGGGAGAGGTGGGAGACCTGAGATTCCCCTTTGGAAGAGATGCTGGTGCTCTGGGATCTGGTACTCTCTCTTAACTCTCTGGAACTTAATTTCATTGTCAAAGCTTCCGCCTGGTGCTGATGCAGGGAAATGGAAAGCAAGATGCAGAAGCACACCCACGGCGGCATCACCATTACATAAGGAGAGGGTTCCTTTGGCGTTCTCTTGCTAAGGGCACATCTCCAGGGTGGGAAGAGGGGAGGCTCCACACAGAACAGGATGGCCTGGTTGGTTAGGGAGGGAAGACAGCGACTAACACCTTGTGTCTGGGGCTCAGGAGAGAAGATGACTGAAGAGGAGGTGGAGACAGTTCTAGCAGGACATGAGGACAGCAATGGCTGCATCAACTATGAAGGTGAGGGGCGGAAGGGAAGGGGAGGAGGCCACGGTGTGCGGTGTGGGCAGCCCGGGGCCTGTGTTACCTGGGGTCAGCCGGCTGGCCCCCGCCTGCTCTGACGCCCCTCTCGCTCCGCCCGCAGCCTTCCTGAAGCACATCCTCAGCGTGTGAGCTCCAGGTAGGCCCTCCTCCCGGCCCCTCCCCTCTGCTGGGCACGGAAGCCGGGAGCTGCGCTTTCCTGTTCCTCGTACGAGTGCTGGGGTTTGGCAGCTTCTCATGTTTCTCCACAGATGCCGTGGGGTCGGACGCCGGTCCTCCCGCAGGCGGAAGCATGTTCCTACCACTAGGAGGCCACCTATTGTTTCACAATAAAGACACGGTTCCTCCCTTCGCCTCCGACTGCTGCTTTCTTCAGACGTGGGGGTGGGAGGGCGGGGAGCGAGGGCTCTCCTCTCCCCCATCGTCATCCTCGGTCTTCCCGCCGCTCGGAAGAGCAGGTTCCCCGCGCGCCCCCCACTCCCGTCTACGGCGGCGGCTGGGCCCGCGGTGCGGCTCCGGGGGAGGGAGCGGCGGCGGCCCCGCCCACCTCATTACTAATGCAGCGAGTCATCTGCATAAGCCCAGGCCCGGAATCCCATTGGCTGGGCCCGCGGGTGACGTCATCGGGCCGTCCGAAGACTAGGGCCGGGCGGGAGCCGGAGCCATTACTGCAGGAACGGGTCCCGCAGAGCTCGGCAGCCAAGATGGTGGGGCCCGGGCGGATGAGCGGGGTTTGGAGCGAGAGGCGGGGAGTTGGGGGGATGGGGAGACCCGGAGGCGGCTGAGGTGGGGGGCGAAGGGGACCCGAGGGCCCGGAAGTGCGGGGTGTGGTCCGCTGGGAGCGGAGCTCGGGGCTGTGGGGCTGGGCTGGAAGCTCGGGGCAGGGAGTCCCGCTGCTGACCGCCCCTCTTCTCCGAGCAGTGCGACTTCACCGAGGACCAGACGGCAGGTAGGTGCCGACCCCTCCGCGGTCCCGCTGAGCCCCACCTGTCATCTCCTCGCCCGGGGCTCCCCCTGGGGTCCCGCTCCTCCCTCCGGAGCCTCCATTTTCCTTTCTCACTCTTCCTCCTCCCTCTCCTTCCACTCCAGATGTGAGCCCCACGCCCTGGGTGAGTTGTAGGTGTGTGGGCGTGTGGAACAGCCGCCTGCCTGCTGGAGGGCTGGGGGGGTCGGGGAGGGTGTGTGAAGCTGCCTGGGCGCCTCCGACCTTAACCAGCTTCTTCTGCCTCTTCCCCCCGTGACCATCCTCCCCTCCCCCGCTTGGAACTGTGAGGACTGAAAATGAGTGACCTGCTGCTTTGTGAAAAATGGGGACAGAAAACGGGGACCGGGGAGTTCGCTGAGGGCACTTCCGCCGAAGGGCAGGGTGGGCAGCGGCGCCGCGATGACCCCCGCCCTGGCCGCGCTCCCGCTTCCTTATAAGGCCGGGCGGCCTGGGCGGCGGCGCATTCCTGGCGGCGCCGGGAGGGGAGGGGCGGGCCGGGCCGGCGGGGGTGTAAGCGGCGGGGGAGGGTGTGTAAACGGGTGTGACTCCGCGGGGGGAGGGGGGGGAGCAGGCTGTGTCTTGACGTGGGAGACCTGGGTTGGAGTAACGGACACTGGGTCTGTCCCTCTTAGCGGACCTGCCTGTGCCGTGGGATATATCCGGTTTCCTTGGCATGATTAAAATTGAATGGGCAACGGACACCGTGAGGGCTTGGTTTAACCCCCATATGCCCAGAGCTGATGTTTATCTGAATCCTCAGAGTTCAAGGAGGCCTTCCAGCTGTTTGACCGGACAGGGGATGGCAAGATCCTGTACAGCCAGTGTGGGGACGTGATGCGGGCCCTGGGCCAGAACCCCACCAACGCCGAGGTGCTCAAAGTCCTGGGGAACCCCAAGAGTGATGGTGAGGGTCCTCCAGAACAACTCCTCAGTGTGGTGGGGGGCCAGGTCTTCAGCTAGGTCCCAAACTCAAGCAGGTCTTGTCTCAACTAGCAAATCCCAGGGATTTCTGCTGCTTTGAGTGGGAGCAGTCTGGTTGTGACCCTGTGACCCCCTCAGTTCTGAGAACTTGTGTGACTTCCCTTCTGCCTCCTCTACGGCAGAGATGAACGTGAAGGTGCTGGACTTTGAGCACTTCCTGCCCATGCTGCAGACGGTGGCCAAGAACAAGGACCAGGGCACCTACGAGGACTACGTCGAAGGCCTTCGGGTGTTCGACAAGGAGGGGAACGGCACCGTCATGGGTGCCGAGATCCGGCATGTGCTCGTCACACTGGGTGAGGCTCTGCCCTTTCTCCTTGAGCTGAGGAGCCCCCTGACAGACTCTCCACCAGCCAGGCAGTTCCCACAATGCCCTTTCTTCCCCTCTGCAGGGGAGAAGATGACAGAGGAAGAGGTAGAGATGCTGGTGGCAGGGCACGAGGACAGCAATGGTTGTATCAACTATGAAGGTGAGGGACAAATGGAGGCAGCAGCCATTTGGGGCAGGACAAGTACAGTTTGGGGCTTTCCCTGTCCCTGGACTTGGGCTTCAAAAAGTGCCCAGCAAGAGGCAGGGCCCTGCCCAGCCCAGGAGCGGGAGGCCAGGGGTGTGTGACAGGAGAGGAAGGGGCAATGTGGTGTGAAGGGTGGGAAGGAACGGGAAGTAAAATAAATGGAATGTCTATGTCCCCACTGCCTGACCCCCTCACCCCATGTGTGTGTCTTGTCTTCACCATTAATGTCTCTTCCTTCCTGCAGCATTTGTGAGGCATATCCTGTCGGGGTGACGGGCCCATGGGGCGGGTACGGCTCCTCCCAGCCTCCCCTTTCCTAGTTGATCCCCCCAGTGTTTCTCTTCCCCACCTTGCTCTCTGGCCCCTGCCCCACCCCTACTACCATCTGACGTCTGGCATGTTTCTGCATGGAGCTGACCGGGGGAGGGAGGGTCCTCAGAGGAAGACAGCCTGGGGGTGTGGTACCTCCTCCTGGAGTGGGCCCTGAAGTTCTACTTCTAGGGTCTCGGGTGCTGGTGCCGGGAACCCTGACACCTGTCCCGTCCTGCTTTAGGGTGATCCTTTGGCCCTGGAGCAGCGGTGGTTGGCATAGGGGGTGGGTTGCCTGCCCCACTGTAGCTGAACAGTTCTTCCCTTCCTTCTGCTGGGCAGCTTGGAGGTACCCTAACCCAAAACTCTGTCTTCTCCTGCCAGTGGCTGACAGTAGCTTTAGGTGTAGTTATGAACTTTTCTGCCTCTGCTGTGTTCTTGCTGCTCAGGGTGGGGTGGGAACTAACAGCTCGTGGGAGGGGAGCTGGGGGCCTAGAGAACTGCTCAGACTCAAGGTGACTGACTCCTCTGCAAACTGACCCCAAGGTTGGTTGCTGCAGGCACGTCCCTGATATGCCACCTTTGTGGTCTTCATGGTCTCCTGGCCCCCGGTGGTCCCCTCTCGTGGGCCCTGCCCCCGGTTTATACTCTCTCCTTTCCACAGAGCTCGTCCGGATGGTGCTGAATGGCTGAAGACATTCCCAATGTGCCCAGAGCCTGTGCCTTCCCCTGTGTGAGTCTGTATTAGCCCCGAAGGCTTCCTGAGTTTTGTCACAGCACTTCCCCAGCTTGTATCTCTTGGATGACATTTGCCATCAGCATTCACCAAATAAACTCATTTTCTGTGCCCTAAATGCGGTTATTTTACTTCCTGAGCAGGGTGACGGGGAGAGAGAGTCCAGGATCAATGGACCAGGGGCTGGGGAAGGACCTATAGGAGCCCTGGCCTCACTGAAGAAATGCTGACCACATTCATTGCTGCTAAAAAGGCCCCCTTGGGGAATGAGGAAAGACAAATCTCTAGGGCCAAGGCTGGCCGGCTTTGTTCCAGCCCACATCAGACTGAGTCCTCACCTAGCACTCCAGCTCCCTAAATCCAGCGCTGACCCCCCCCAAGCACTGCAGACTGTTTATTGGGCTAACGCCAGGCCACACTGTCACTGCCAGAGCCTTCACCCAGCGGAGTTGGGGCCAATAACAACAGAAGGAGCGAGATGACTGCCTTCTCCCTGCCTAATAAGGGAAGAAATGAAACCACCACTTCTGAAAGGTAAATAAACAAGGTCTCCTGGTTGAGGATGTCCTTCCAAGCCTTAAGCAGCTCTTCTGGGGGCAGGTGAGAGCCTCTGCCCAGCTCCGGCATCAGTGCACAGCCTGACAGCTGCGCTGCCTTTGGCTGGGAGAGGCCCAGCGCCTCTCGGCCTGAGTGAGCAGACGCCCTGGGAAGAACTCCGGCAATGATGCCCCAGCCCGACCCCACTACTGACAGCCACAGGTCAGAGAACACAGACAGCATCCACAAGATAAAACTGAAAGCAAATTAATTTATAAAAAAGAAAAAGAAAGAAAAAAAGAGAAAATTTACAGAAACCTTTTGAACAGAAGGAAGGTGCCAAGATGCAGAGAAGAGACATGGGAACAAAGGGCCTGGTGGGCGGGACTGGGGCCGGTGGGGAGCCTGGAGTCACATCTGCCTGCACACGGAGGGTGAAGAGGGGAGAGCTGGTATGTGAGGCACTGGGATCTGGGGAGCTGAGCTGAGCTGCAAGCTGGGGGCCAGCACTAACCGAGGTTGGGCATCTCTACCCCTAATGTCTCCAAACCCCAGGGAAACTCTAGCTATCAGTCAAGGCTCTGATGGTCTTGGTAGAGGAGGGAAGAGGTGATGGGGATGATTCACTGAGTCATAAGAAAGAGTGCTTGAGTGCTTTTTGAAAATCTCAGGTTTTTAAAACTTTCCATCTTCTAGCTGCCCTCTCCAGGTCTTCCGGGAGTCCACTGAGAAAGCCAGGAGGAAGGAGAGCCCCAGTGCCCTGCCTTCCTCTGTATCTACCACAGGAATCTCCAAAAATAGGTTTCCCCACCAAATACACAGATGCTGACAACTACATCGCTGACTTAAAAACACAAAAACTGACACTCAGAGGGAAACGGGTCATTGGTGGAGCTGGGGTGGCCTAAAACAGCAATACTGTGGAAGCAGCGGGGAGGTTAGCAGGGACAAACGGGGTTGGGTGGCTGAGGGGGTTCTGAGTTGACTTGGTTACTACCGAGGGGCTGAGGAGACAGGTTCTGCATCCTATTTTATCCCCAGAGCTCCCTCCAGAATGTTAATTTCCTTTCCTAAAATGGTCACCTCCCTCCTCCGAAAAATGTAAAAGTTGGATTTTTTTTTTTAAATGGGGAGGGAGCTCCAATGCAGCTTGAAAAAAAAAAAAAATATTTAAAAGGGCTTAATTTTTTTCATCCATAAAAAATGCATTCTTTTTGAGGGGTGTACCCTTCGAAGTGATTAATTAGAACCTTGTATAAATACCTTCCCCCAGTCCTTCCTGTGAGGGCACATCCCCATCCTATCCTTCCTCCCAGACATTAGAAAGATCTTTTACACAGAAGTCCTTGATAATCCGATATAAAAATGCAAGCCCCTGACAGGGGCCTTGGTGGGGGCTGTGGAGGGGCAGGAAGTGCTTTCCTTACGTAGTGACGAGCTCTCCAGCTGGGGAAGTCCCAGTGGTGGGGGAGGGCTGTTCTTGGAACCTTGATCGGGGGGTGAGGGAGAGATGTCTGCTGGCTCCTCACTGTGAAGGCGGCACAGGGGTGACCGTGCCTGGGCTCGGGGCTGTGGGGTCTGGAGGCAGGGGGGTGCCTGCGTCTGTGGAGAAAGGGAAGATGAATCAGCGAGGGTGAGCAGGAGAGAGGGCACCACGGACAAACAGAACCGGACAAGGCGTGCAATGGGTGGGTAGATGAATGAGGTACCCACAATATACAACTCTCTTTCCCAACAACCTCTCCCACCTCACACTGGGGAAAGTGACAGACCTGAAATCATCCTCCTGCCCCCAAGGGAACCCTCAAAGGGGCATCTGAGCATGATGGGGACAAGCAAAGGGGGTGCCAATCATCATGCAGTCAGAGAGCTGCTTTCAAGGTCACAGCTGAGGTGCTCTGTGCCACCGGCTCCTCCACGACCCACCAGTGAAAGGCCCCGTCATGCCAGAGGTGGCAGCCGCCGGCTGGGGTGGCAGAGGACAGCCCTTCCTCCTGTGTTCTAGCTTTACCAGAGCTCCGAGTCCCTGAGCCCTTCCCCGGCCCTCCTCCCCACGTGGACCCTCCCCCACACCCCTCTCCCCTCCAGGACCCTTCTCACCTGGCAGTGGGCTGGCACTGGGCAGGAGGTTGCCCTGAACAGCTGCCACAATGGCAGGGCTCTGGGCTGCGGCGGATCCGAGCCCCGGCCCGAGAGGCAAGGAAGATGGCATGGTGGTGGTCGCCGGCAGGTTAGGATGTAGAGGGTTCGCCATGGACACAGGCAGGTTAGGTGGGGGGAGAGTGCCCGGGGCGAACGGGAGATGGTGGTGATGCCCATGCAGGTTAGGAGGAGGGGGAAGGTTAATACTGATGGAGTCGGCTAGGCTACCAAATGGGATGATGGATGGAGCAGGAGGAGGAGGAGGCGGCATGCCAAAAGGCAAACCCAAAGGAGCATTACCCGCCACGCCTGGGTGCCCGCCGCCTGGCACTGCCCCTGGCATCATTGAGGGAGGAGTTTGTTGGTTGGGGAACGGTGAGGGGCCTGGGAATGGAGAAGAGAGAACCAGATGATTAGAGACAGAAAATCTCACTCATCAACTCACTTTTATAGGGAGGATAATCTAGCCAGTCCTAGGCACCACCTTCCCTTTTCCTGACACTAGAATTAGTGGCAAATCCTTGGAGTAAAATTCCAAGGATCTGGGTTTGGGGAAAGCTCCCTGCCGGCTTAGGGATATGGCAGAGGTGGGCCCAGCAGAAGAAACCGAGGCCAATTCTATCTCCAGTTCTGCCACGTGTCCCCTCCAAGGGGACCTGGAACCTTCACCTGGATCGCTCTGGTCAGCAAGAGTTCAAGAAGCCAGCACTTACCATGGGGTCCAGGGGGTGGTACCCCTGGTGGGACTGCCCCAGGTTGGGGGGCTCCGCCTGGTTGCTGCTGCTGTGGCCCTGCAGTTGGCCCTGTCTGCCCAATCTGTTCCGAGGGGCCCAAGCTTCCAGGAGGGACCCCGCTGCTAGCAGGAGCAGGGGCCACAGAGGCCGGAGCCATGGCCAAGCCATGGACTGTGGGTGGCCCAGCGGCGCCTGTAGGTGGGATGGGCTGGGAGCCCGGGGGCAGGGCCGGTGGCGGCTGCTGCTGCTGCTGGTGCATCTGCTGGAAGTGCTGCTGCCGAGCCCTCATCTCCGCATACTTCAGCTGCTCCATGTGGAAGGCTTGCCTGTCGGCCAGGAGCTGCTGCCTCTGATACTCCAGCTGCAGGTGCCAATTGAGTGCTGTCACCCATGCTCAGAAGATCCCAAAGCACGCACCTTGCCCTGCTTTATGTTCTGACAGAGCCAGCCTCTCATTCCGGTGGTTCTCCACATCAAATCTAGGTCAGGGCTTCAGCACCCCTCCCTCCCCCATCCTCTCACTGCCGCACAGCTCCTCATTGCCCCGGGGTTAATCTGGGGGGCAGCCCTGGCTGGTTTCAGCTCCAGAGCTTTGCACTTGTCATTAATTTGGAAAACCTTTCCAGTCCTCCTGACAGTTCATGTTCTTTTCTTCCTTAAAAATTAGCTAAAAACCCATCATCCTTAGGGAGCCATCTCAGATCAATTCACTAGCCTCTGAGCTTTTGGCCTTGATTCTGTTATCGCCTCAGGACTTCTATACTTGACTTGAAATCTCTTAATTTGAATTTGTCTGGTATTTTAAGCATTAACTGTTTTTTGATGACTCCATACCATATATATTTGATGACTCTAATTAAACTGTAAATTCTCTGAGGGCAGGGGCCCTGTCTTCTCTTTTTCTTTTTATAATATTTTTATTTATTTCAGAGAGAAAGCGAGAGGGAGAGAGAGAAACATCAATGATGAGAGACAATCACTGATTGACTGCCTCCTGTGGACTGAGCCAGCAACCCAGGCATATGCCCTTGACTAGAACTGAACCAGGACCGATGCTCTATCCAATGACCCAACAGGCTGGGCTCTTCTCTTTCTTTACAACTTCTCAAAGACAAAGAGGTCCATAGCTTGCCTATCCCATCCCCTTTTCCAGTCCATCTCCTGGATCCGAAGCCTCTACCCTCTCATCATGCCTTACATTGGTTTAATTCCTCAATAAATACTGAGAGTTTACTATGGGCCAAGTCCGTTCAAGGACCTGGAGGTGCTGATCAACAACGAGGATGTCTGCCCGGGAGAAGTGGACACTGTGGGGCACGCAGCCTCCTGGCTCCACCTGTGGGCACCTGTCCTTCCTGCCTGGGCTGGCTCCCCGCCCTGGCTTCAGAGCTCTGTCCACCTCAGGCTTTCTGCTCTGCCGCTCTCCTCTCCCTGCTGCCCCATCCTCAACGAAGGCACAACTCAGCATCAAGGTGGGGCTCTGGGCTCTGCTGACCCCTAGGGAGCATTACTCACGGCTTCCCGCTCCCGGTCCATGATCGTCTCCAGCTCCTCAAAGTGCCGGAGCTTGATCTCCAACTTTTTCATCTGGGTCTCCACGAGCAGGGCCACCAGAGATTTGATTTTCCTTTCCTCAACAGCAGCCAGGTGCTAGGGAAGGAGGGTGGGAGGCACGTCAGTGGGAAGACCCAGTGGAAAACATTCCGGGACAGAGAAAGGTGGCAGGTTTTTTTTGTTTGTTTTAATATATTTTATTTATTGATTTTTTTACAGAGCGGAAAGGAGAGGGATAGTTAGAAACATCAATGAGAGAGAATCATCGATCAGCTGCCTCTTTTACTCCTCCTACTGGGGATGTGCCCATAACCAAGGAACATGCCCTTGACCGGAATCAAACCTGGGACCTTTCAGTCCGCAGGCTGACGTTCTATCCACTGAGCCAAACCGGTTTCAGCAAGGCGGCAGGTTTTAAGAAACAACTTGCTGTGGTCACAGCCCGGAGAGTAAAACAGGCTTGATATTTTTAAAAGAACATGAAGAAAAATGAAGTGTGGCAAAAGATAAGACAAGGTCAAATAATCTCAATATATAAAAATCTAACCATCTGACTATTTGACCAGTAGCTATGACATGCAATGGCCACCAGGGGCAGATGCTCAATGCATAAGCATGGCAACATGGAACAGCCTGATGAATCTCAGAGGGAAGGGGGCGGGGAGAGTGCAGGAAGAAATTAAACCAAAGGTCTTATATGCATATTAGAGGTCCAGTGCACAGGTTCATTCACTGTGTACAGTGGGGTCTCTCGGCCTGGCCTGCAGGGATCAGGCCATAACCGGCAGTCCGATATCCCCCAAGGAGTCCCGGATTGCAAGAGGGCGCGGGTCAGGCCAATGGACCCCACTGGGACTCTAATCAAATAATCAAAGCTTAAAAAATCTTAGAACAGTGATGACCAACCCTTCCTCTTAGGATCAAAAGAAAAAGGAAATGGGCAGCGTTATTCAAGGGATAGGAAGGGTTCCTCCAGGTGAGATGAGGTCAGAGAAGGGGCCTCTCCCCCTTGGGCTTTGGGCCCTCACCTTGGCCTTCACAGCGGCGGCGGCCAGCGCGGCGGCAGCAGCGGTGGAGAGATTGCCCTCACCGATGTCCCTCTCCACCTTGGTCTTCCTTTCCCCCTCCGACTCCACCACTTCCTTCAGCACTTCCTCCTGCCCCTCCTTTGGCTCCTTGTCCTTCTCAGGATCAACTGGGCCGGGAACAGGGCTGTTAGTCCTACGGCCTCCCTTCTCCCTCCCGAACTTCACCACCCTGCTGCGAGGCTCACCTGTGGGGTCCCCCTCACTCTTCTCTGACTCCTTCTCGCTGTCGCCTTCTTTCCCTTTCTCTTCGTCCTTCTTGGGAACCTCGCTAGTCTTCTCTTTTGCTTCTTCCTCCACAGCCCCAACTCCTTCTCGGGGTTCCTGAAGCGCCAGGGAAAGAAACGCAGAGGGTATCAGGGTGACTGGCTCTCACACAGGGCTGGGCTGGGAAATGAACTCACACCTCTCACTTGGGAGGTACTTTGGCTCCAGGAGAAGCCTGGCCATCTCTTGCCTGAGCTGGACTAAGCCAGCTCCCCACCCCACGTTGCCAGCTCCCAGCCCAGGCCAATCCAGCTATACCTTGGGCTCCTTCTTCTCCTCAGCGGCCTGGCCCTCCGCCCGCGCCTCGTCAGTCCCGCTCTCCTCTGGGCCGGTGGGAAGAGGAAATGGGAAGCGGCTGATACAGAGTCTGTCTATACAGCACTTTTCCCACAGCCCCCTCTCCCAGCCAAAATCTTAGTGAGAGGATCCATAGGGAGCCAGAGTCCCTAAGGTAAAGTCCTGGGGAAAATAAAACCCCTACCCATCTCCCATTCATCTTGTGCCGAGGCCAGCCGAAGCAGGGATGGCAGTGGGGAGAGATCTGGGAACTTGGCAGCCTTACCAATCCGCTCAGGCTCATCAGAGGTGGTTCCGGCAATACCACTGCTTTCCAGACCGAAGGCTGGGTCCGCCTTGCCTGTCACTTTGGCTGCTTCCTCCACTTTCCGAACATGGGCCTCCACCAAGGCCGTGGGTACCTCTTCCTTCATTTTAGAGAACTCCTCTGCAAGATCCAGAGAGGATGAGGATGGGAGTGGGGGTGGGCAGGCAGTACTGGCCACCCCGGTGAAATCCCGTCTCTCCATCCAGACCAGCATGGAGCCAGACCGGCGCCTGAGCTGATGCCAGCAGAAGGCAAGGCCAATAAGGCAGCCATGCTTGAGAGGGTCTCAAGGTCTGAGTTACTAGTCCTTCAAACGAAAACTAAGCCCAGCTGGTGTGGCTCAGTGGTTGAGCGTCAACTTATAAACCAGGAGGTCAGGGTTCAATTCCTGGTCAGGGTACATGCCTGGTTGTGGGCTCAATCCCCAGTTGAGGGCGTGAAGGAGGCAGCTGATCAATGATTCTCTCTCATCATTGATGATTCTATCTCTCCTCCCATCTCTTTTCCTCTCTAAAAATCAATAAAAACATATTAAACAAACAAAACAAAACAAAAACCAAACCGAGAAGGCCAGGAACCCTCCACATTACCTAGAGCCGACTTTGCAGCCGCAGAGGCGACTCGAGGGTCGACGACGGAGGCCAGGAAGGCGACAGTGCTCATGACGGGGTTGCCTGACTGGCTGAAAGGGATGGGCTGGTAGGCCAGGGGGCCCAGAGAGGCCTCCGAGTCCTCCAGGTACGGGTCTTCAATGGGAAGACGAAGAAAATGCAAGATGCACTCGTCCTGCGTGCGGCTGCCCACATGCTCAGACACTTTGTTCCAGTCGTCTTTGTACATTTCCAGAGCCTGGTGGTGGTGGTGGAGACACAACTCCGCTTACTTAGCCACTTTCCTTGAAGATCAACTCCCCCCATCTAAGGAGAGCTGGCTTCAAAGCTCTCTGTTTGTGGTGTTTGTGTGCTCTGCGGGGTCCAAAAGGAACTTCCAAGTAGCACTAAGAAAGGACGTGGCCCAAATCTCTGGCCTGGAGCTGTTGCCTAGGGCGGGCACGACAAGCATCAAGAAGGAGAGACTGAGGGCAAGACCACGTGGCCCGCTCAGAGTGCGCCGGCACCGGCCGTCTGCTGCCAGGCCTCTTTCCCTTGCCCCGATTACCTCCAGCAGCAGCAGAGTCTCCTGCTCCGTCCACTCTCGCGTGGCGCTGGCTGCAGCTTTGCTCTGCGGGGAAGGGAGGGGGTCAGCCAGAGGGGCCGTGACCTCTGGGGAGCGAGGGCGCCCAGGCCCTGAGCCACCCCGCACGTCCATGTCCATACCTTGCAAGGAACGTTCTTCTTTGTGTACATGTCTGTGCGTAGCCCGAAGTTCTGCATGTCTGTTGGTTTCTCTTTGCCTTTGTCAGGGAAGTTGAGCATTTGCTGGGAAGCAGAGGTCTGCTATTTGTGGAGGGAGAGAAAGAGGTGAGTACAAATGACCATCAGGAGCCAGGGGCAGAGAGAGAAAGATAGAGACAGAGAGACAGAGACAGAGAGACAGAGAGAGAGATAGAAACAGGCAGAAGGAGCTTTCTCCCCAAAGTCAGGGACACCCCTGGGTGGGGCTCCCTCCCTCACTGCTGCAGCTCCTCTGTTCTCATCTCTCCTTCCCGGGCAGGGGCCCCCAAATAAAGGGGCAAGTAAGAAGCCCAGCAGGGCCTGCGCCCCACCTACCAGCTCTGGCTTGCCCTTAGCGGTCTCTGGCACCAGGTCGTCCAGCTCTTTGCCCTTGCGCCCAGCCTTGGTGTCAGCGTCCACCTGGCGGCCCTGGGGGACAGAGCTTGACGTCGGAGGCTGGGCAGGGAACACCAGGCCGAGGCCCTAGAGGCCTCGGGACCGAGTCCTGGGTGGTCCACAGCTCTGGGCATTCACCCCGCTGCTCCGTGTTCCCTTAATGGCTAATCAGGCTGTAGTTGGCACGATATCCACTTGTGTTCACATATGTCTTTACAGATTTTCTTAGGAGCTGGACAAGTAGGTTCTAGTCTAGATTTAGTACTCAGTGACCTTGGGCAAGCCACATAACCTTTCTCCTCTTAATTTTTGTAATGTATGAAATGGCAGTGGAAAAATGAAAGTGATAATAATTATGAGTCAAAAATGAAAAAATGTTGGAAGCATGACAAAGCTAAAAAAATTTCATGCAGCTGAATTTTAAGTCTTTTTTCTCTATCTGTTCCGTCCCCTACATTAGTCTGTCTGCTCCTTGAGGAGCATCTCTTCTCCCTCAGCAAGTCCCCGCAGGCTTAGGTACGAGGCTGAGAGAGGTTGCTAAACACCTGGGGCTGATTCCTGCCGCCCTGTGCATCCCATGGAAAAGGAAGAAGCCTCAAAACACTCCTGAACCATTGCCCTAAAAACCGGAAAAAGAAAAGTCCAAAGAAGCCCAGTTTTACACACACACATACCCCACCCGTCCCTACAGCCCCTCACCCTACCTGTGGGGTCTTGGGCTGCAGAGGCACCAGCCCCGAGGGCGTGTCCGCTAAGACGTGGAAGTGCGAGGTGGGCGGGGGTCCCATTGGGGTTGGACGACTCTCAGCATCCACCTGGTAGTTTATAAGACCCCACTGCTCTAGGAAGGCATGAACTCTGGGAGGAGAGAGACAGAAACGGGGTCACGGGCAGCCAGAAAGCTGCATGAGGAGAGCTGAGGGCAGAGGTGGCCTAAAGCCCCCTCTCCCACCCTTTGTTCTGCTCATTCTCCTTCCTGGGAAATCTCTCCTCCCACCACCTAAACACCGGGTCTACATCTCCAGTCAGGACCTCGCTTCATTCTCATCCACCTGCTCAGCGTCTCCTCCGGGACAGCCAGTAAAACCGAAACGGGACTCTTTCCCTTCTTCCACACTTCACGGGGTACCACTGCCATTCCCTCAAGTCACCGCCCCCAACCTGAATCTCACCTCACCCCTCCCTAGAGTTGTTTTTTGTTTTTGTTTTTCCCCTAGAGGTGTTTTTCCTGCTCATTCCCCTATGTTCCTTGCTAGCATCTCTCTTTCTGCCAAGAGATAGATACCTGTGGGCAGACATCCTGACATACTCCTTCCTCTCAGCTGCAAAACCCACCTCATGATGGCACAGACATCCCCTGCCAGGTTCCTGCGGCAGGCAGTAGAGGTGAGATACTCTTGGGGGTTCAGCCGGTAAGTGTCAATCATGAAGTTTCGATAGGCCAGGTAGCTTAGGAGAGAGAACAATGAGGTAGAAAAATGAATGTCTGTTGCCGGCTGAAGGGTAGGAAAGTGATAAAGGAGCTAATGACTCCTGTGGGACCAAGATAAAAGCAGTTGACAATTTGACTCAGTCAACAGCGTGGGACTGCCATGTGCTAGGCGCCAGGGCTCAAAGCAGAGCTGGCATTTTCCTTGATGGGGTTTTAGTGAAATAAATTATGTCTTTGGCTGTCCTTGACGGTGATTCACCCAACTTTTCAGTAAGGAATCAAAAGGTAAAACAAGAAGTCCTTATTTCAAAATGCATATGGTAGAGGGAGGTCCAAATCCACATATCCTACTAGTCAGAAAAGAGTACTATGTTTTGAATGCGGAAAAGCTAAAAATCCCAGTTCTACCATGATGGCCTTGGGCAAGACACATTTTTGCCTCTCAGTTTCCCCATCTATAAAGTGAAGTGTCTGCGGAAGCTTAGAAAGGTCTGTAAAGGTCTAGTACAGCTTGAAAAATGATAGATCGCTGTTGTATAGTATAGTGTAAAGTCTGAGACCACACCGAGACTAAAGGATTCAGATCTCGGTTTTACTACTTACTAGCTGACTTTAAGCATGTAACTTAGCCTCTCTAAACCTCAGTTTCCTTTCAGTAACGTGGAGATGATAATAACCTTCCTCTAAAGCTGATGTGGAGATTAAATGAGTCAGCGTCTGTAGGATGTGCCTGGGAGACAGTAAGCTCTCAGTAAAGGTAGGCAATCACCATCATTTACTCTTTTATGCCGAAAGTGCAAAGTGTGAGTGAGGATACGTGATTTCAAATACATCTTCACCACCAAAACACAGCTTGTGCCTTCCTCTGCCGTCACATCACCCTGACAGGCCTCAAGGTTGTTAAGTTTTTAATTTGATGAGAACTATGCAACTTACAAGCTTTCTTCCAGATCTAAAAATCTATGCTTCTCTCTTCCTGGTGAGTTTGGTTTCTCTCCAGATAAAAAAAAATAAAACTATTAAAAAAAAAAAAAAAAAGAGTACAAAGTGTGGAACAGTTCTAGTTCCGACCCTGCCTGCCAACATATTGGTCGCACGTCACTGGTCACATTTTCCCGGAGCAAGCGAGCTCCTCCACAGGCAGCTGCCCCAGAAGAGGAGGAAGTGACCGGCTGCAGGAGGGAAGCGGAAGAACGGATGGAAGCCAGCCCGCTGGGCTCTCAGGAACCGTGGCTCGGCACGCAGGCTCACCATCTCGTCCTGACAGCGATCCCGGAGCGTCTCTAACCAGAGAGGCCTGCCAAGTCTCAGCCAAAGCCAAGCAAGTTTGGCCGAAGCAACACCCCTAAGGAGGGGAGGACTTCTGAGCCCCAAGCCCACACCTGACCTAACACTTCTCTCCAGAAAGCCTTCTCCATCCCTCAGTTCATAGACGTGGGTCTTAATGGTTTTCCCTCTCATGTATCTATCAAAACCTACTCTTAGGGACCAGCCTGGTAATAGCTACTGACATTTTAGTCGAAGCTACGCTAGGGAGATTTACATTGTGGACAACATCAGTCACTGTGGGTTAAGAGAAACGGAGGAACTGGAGCAGGTGGTTGTTTTGCACAGAAGAGCAGGCTGATGGCCACAGGGCAAATCCTGGAGTGCATGTTGTGTGGTCACAGCGGGCCGGGGGCAGTGATCATGTCTTGGTGAGCCTGCACAGGTGCCTGGCTCACGGAAGAACTCAAGAAATGGTTGCTAAACAGGATGTTGCTGGACCAGGAGGAGCGAATGGGGACAGGGAGGGAGAGAGAGATCCATGAGCCGAGGTGTCCTTACATTTCTGGGGTCTTGGACTTGTTCTTGCCGTTGAAGAACTCGGGGAGAGCCCGCCGCTCAATGGCGTGGACACTGCAAGAGAAGTCAGGCGTTCAGAAGGCGCTAGTGGAGCGATGAAGCCCCAAAGAGTGAAAAGCCTGGAAGGTGAGGCAGGCAAACAGCTGGAGGCAGCAGGAAGGAATCAGATGGTTGGGGAGAACTTCCTCCCATGGCTCCCATGAAATGGAAGTGTACCCCGATCTAGCTGACTGAGGAAGAAATAACTTATTTATCGGCGGGAGAAGGAACATGCTGACCCCAGGAGGCAGAGAGAAAAGGGTTTAGTGAGAAGCCGGAGCCACAATACCTGTTATAATCAAACCAGGCTGCATAGCTGGGGATGATGATGTGGTGGGTCTGCTCAGTCACATTGTCCTCATGCAGGTCTGGGTTCTTGGTCTGCTCCCCCTTGTTCCCCGTGCTGTTTTCATCCTCATCCTATGAACATGGAGGCTGCTGGACACTCAGCATTCTCATCTTGCCCCTAGCACCCCCTGCTTCTCCCTCACCCCAGGACTGTGGGCACTGAAGACGGGTGTGGGGATGAACAGTAACGGACCCCAGGACTGGAAAAGGTCAGTTTTGAGCAATAGGTAGACTCAGTCCATGAGGGGAAATGTCTGAGCAGAGGGAACTTTATAATCACAAGTCAGAATCACATAGAGAGGTGGGGCCCCGCTAAACTGGCTCCACCTTGCCCGTGGTCTCCATGCTTTCATCCTCCTGTTCATCTGAAAGAGAGACAGCAAGAGAGAAGGCTGAAGCCTCCCACGGGCCGAGGAGAGTCCTACTTCCTGAAAAGCCCTGGCCGGCTGGGGGAAGTGACAGCTGCTCCCCTAACCGGCTCTGACTGCCCTGCCCCGAGGCTCCCGTCTTACCCAAGTCAGTCATGGTGCCTCCTTTGACGGGGGCTGACTCCGAGTCCTTCTTAGTGTTGACTGCCAGAAGAGAGTCATTTTATCAGACAGGTCCTGCCTACCCAGGCCCTCACCTCTCCGCTGCTAAGTTCTAAAGATCTCCTCCAAAACCTTTCTCTTTCTGATCACAAAATGCAGTAACTTCCTTCAGCCACAATCAGTCTAGGTTTGGAAACTCACTTGCCATTTTGCCCTCTTCCCAACCAAAAATTCATTTAACTTTTTTCTATAGAGCAGCATTTTCTTTTCTTTTTTTTTTAAGTAATTATTTTTTTAATTTATTTTTTAAATATCTTATTGATTTTTTTACAGAGAGGAAAGGTTTCGACTAGAGAAGCCTTTTCTACTCAATCGATATTTATATATCATTTGTCTTTCAGGCCCTTATATCCACCTATGTGTAAGTCCCCCTCCCCCCCTTTTTTTAAAATATATTTTATTGATTTTTTACAGAGAGGAAGAGAGAGGGATAGAGAGTTAGAAACATCGATGAGAGAATCATGGATCAGCCGCCTCCTGCACACTCCCGACCAGGGATGTGCCCCCAACCAATGTACATGCCCTTGATTGGAATCGAACCCCGGACCTTTCAGTCCGCAGGCTGATGCTCTATCCACTGAGCCAAACCGGTTTCGGCAAGTTCTTTCTTTCTTTTTCTTTCTTTCTTTTTTTTTTTTTGTCTTTATTGATTTGAGAGAGAGAGGAAGGGAGAGAGAAACATCAATGTGAGAGCACAAAATCAACTGGGGATCAAGCTCCCAATGCGGGCAGGTGCCCCAAAAAGGAATTGAATTGGTGACCTCTCAGTGCATGAGACAACACTCAACCAACTGAGCCAAATCCGCCAGAGCTGTAAGTTCTCAATAAAGTGAGACAGAGCCTGACCAAATCACTCTACAGAGAAATGGTTGGATCTTAAATATTTTTTTTCCTTGCTTAAAAAAAAAATCTTTATTGTTGAAAGTATTCCGTATGGCCCCCTTTTTTCTCCCATTGACCTCTCTTAGCCCCCTTGCTCCCCCGCCCCGGGCCTTTACCACCCTACTGTCTGTGTCCATGGGTTCTGCACAAATGCATTCAAGCTCTTTGGTTGCTCTCTTCCCACTCACCCACCCTCCCCCAGATCTTAAATATTTTTGCAAGCAGAGGACACTTTGTGAATTCATACACAAAAGCTCAGGAGAAAATACAGACAGAGGAGAGCTGCTCTCATCGATTAGGGACTGGGAGCCAGAACTCCTCTCTCGGCCCTCTTTTCTCCCCTGCTGAAATATGGCTGGGACTCGTCTCCAGAACACGGTTATAACAGTGCTGGAGAGCAGTGTCTCCAACCTGAGGTCTCATACAGGATGCACAAGATGGTCCACTAGAATTCAGCCAGAGAGTATCAGAACTTCTCTTTAGATCCACCTTTTAATCTTATCCTTTCCCTTTTCCCGTTCGTAGAGAATGTCTGCATGTGTTTTATAATGTTCTAAAAGGAGCGGCGTAACGGTTCATGTATGTAATTTGTGCTCAGATATATTTTACTTACGGCGTTTGCTCAGTTGGTTAAGGTGTCGACCCGATATGCTAAGGGTGTGGATTCAATTCCTGGTCAGGGCACATACAGGAATCAAATAATGAATGTGGCCAAAACTGGTTTGGCTCAGTGGGTAGAGCGTCGGCCTGCAGACTGAAAGGTCCCAGGTTCAATTCCGGTCAAGGGCATGTATATTGGTTGCGGGCACATCCATGGTGGGGGGTGTGCAGGAGGCAGCTGGTCAATGTTTCTCTCTCATCGATGTTTCTAATTTTTTTATCCCTCTCCCTTCCTCTCTGTAAAAAAAAAAAAAAAAAAAAAAAATCAATAAAAAATATATTTATATCAAATAATGAATGTGTAAGTAAGTGGAAAATAATTGGTGTTTCTCTCTCTCTAAATCGATCAACCAAAAAACAAAAAAAATAGAATATGGAGACAACTACTGTCAAGCACAAAGCACAGTCCACAACTTACTAGCAGTTATGGACGTGAAGTGAGAGGATGGTCCGTGGTGATGGAAAGAACCTCTAGACCCGGGACCGGGCCTAGGACATCGGCCACTCGGGGTTTGGAAGAGCAGGGGCCGGGGCAGGCCGGGAGCTAAGCCAGCCCATACCTGTCTTGGGCAATGTCACCTCTTCCACGTTGGGGACCGGGGAGGGCTCATCCATGTCCTTTGTTAGGTCCTCCTGCTCCTCTTCTCTGTGGCCACGCTTGGACTTGGTGTAAGGTGTGGAGGGACTGGGAAGGAAGGGGTGTGAAAGAGAACCTAGTCAACCTTAGAAAGGAGTCCCTGGAAGTTAAAGTTCAAGGGACAGGAAGCAAGAGAGAAACCTAAGGGGCAGAACTGAGCAAAACAGAAACCAATCACCTCAGAATCCTGGGAAGTGGCCCAGGCTTTCATTGGAGATAAAGCTCTGAGTCTACTCGTGGCTGAGACTAGAACTAACCACTAGGCAGCTTAAGAGGAGGAGGTCTAGGGTCGGGTGGTCACGGGGAGGTTTGGAGAGATCGGTGAAGGGGGGGCAGGCGAGGGGCTGGCATACCCTTTCTTGGCATTTTTCTTCTTAGCTTCTGGGGTTGGTGAAGGAGAGGGGGAGCGCTTCCTCTTCTTATAGTTCCCCCCCTTCTTGTCCCGTCGATCTGAATCTGGGCTGTTCACCTGCAGGGTGGGGAGTTGGGACAAATGTGAGCCAATAATCCCCAGTGAAGACTTATTCCAAAACGTATGCTAGTGGCTCCAAGAAGAAAGAAGAGGAAATCTCACCTCGTCTGTCAATGTCTTGGCTGAAATCTTCTTTCGGCGGGAGACCGGGTTTTTGTCGTCATTTACTTCATAGTCTTCCTCGTTCATCCATTCGTTGAAGGTGTCTGTGTCCAGGATCCACTTCGCATGAACCTGAGGACAGAGGCAGACGGTGCTGACGAGAAGCCCGGAAGCCAAAGCTCTGTCCGGGGCCGTCAGAAAGCCCAGGGCACAGGCGCTGCTGCTTCCTCTCCGGAGTGGCCGGTGGTGACGTTTGGGGCGGCGCGGGACAGAGCACCCACCTTCCTAGGCTTCTCGGGAGTCGGAGCATCTTCCACGGACGCTTCAATTTCGCTGGCTGGGATCCACGTGTCGTAACTGCCGTGGGAAATGCATCGTGAAGCAGAGAACCAGCCAGATAGAGTTGTGGAAAAGAAAAGTGGAAATCTTTTACCTTTTCCACGTATAAAAAGCACTGTGTTGCTGGGTTATGTTTTGGTATAATTATTTCCCCAGTTAATATTGGGATCTTTTCTTTATAAAGTAATAGAAATAATTACAAAATATTTCAAAAATAAAAAAGGAATCACCCTAACACAACTACCTGTGACATTCAGTAGATACTTTTCCCCAGAAACTTTAAAAATATATGTGTGTGTGTGTGTGTGTGTGTGTGTGTGTGTATATATATATATATATATTTTTTTTTATTGATTTCAGACTGGAAGAGGGAGAGAGAATCACCGATTGGCTGCCTCCTGCATGGGAGAAGGGAGGAGGTGAGCCTGACTCGGGCATGTGTCGTGTCCTGACCAGGAATTGAACCATGACCTCTTGGTTCATAGGTTGATGGTCAATCACTAAGCCACGCCAGCTTGGCCAATAACATTTTTTGGTACAATTTTGTTTTAACCTAATTGCAATGATACTGGAGTTATTTTATATCCTACTTTTTGCAGTTAATATTCATTTAATAAATTATCCATGTTATTTCTATAAATGTAAAGGCTTATAGTCCTGCCAGTGGTTGAGTATCCACCCATGAACCAGGAGATCCCTGGTTAGATTCCCAGTCAGGGTACGTGCTGGGGTGTTGGGCTCAATTTCCAGTGGGAAGCATGCAGGAAGCAGCCAATTCATGATGTTTCTCTCATCGGTGTTTCTATCTCTGTATCCCTCTCCCTTCCTCTCTCTCTCTAAAAATCAATACAAACATATTTAAAAATAAGTAAAAGCTGTATAATAGCCCCTAAATAGATATATAAATTGGCTGAAACATTTCCTCACCATTAAACAATTAGATTGTTTCTAATACTTTCTTATCCAAAATTATACTGGAATAGCTGAGACCGGTTTGGCTCAATGGATAGAGCATCGGCTTGGGGACTGAAAGATCCCGGGTTCGATTCCGGTCAAGGGCATGTAGCTTGGTTGCGGGCATATCCCCGGTAGGGGGTGTGCAAGAGGCGGCTGATCGATGACTCTCATCGATGTTTCTAACTCTCTATCTCTCTCCCTCCCTCTCTGTACAAAATCAGTAAAATATATTTTTAAAAAAATTATACTAGAATAACCATTTTACATGTAAAGCCCCAATTCTTTTAGCCTAAGTCTGATCTGATAAAAATCAACCTCCCCCAAGATAGGGGATTCACATAATAGAAGAGAGGAGAACAAATTAACGAACCTAAAAAAAAACCAACAAACCTAAAATAACTCCTCAAGATAATAAAGTGAAGGAAAAAAAAAAAAAAAAAAAAAAAAAATATATATATATATATATATATACACACACATTTCCAAATCACTCCCTACTGCTTTGCTAGAAGTTCTAGCACTTCTCAGCCTGGTTCTTGTGCTTATACCTGCCCCAAGCCCATCCTCACCTGTCAGGGTAATAGCCCCAGTGCAGAAGAACCTGCTTATCCCTCTTCATGACTGGCCGTACCCATTCCTCTGGGGATAGAGACAGAGCAGGGAGAGACATAAGCTAATGGGGTACAAAAAAGTAACTCTGTATACAACTCCTGCTGCAGCACAGGACCTGTAAATGGGAATGTAAGACGGTCGGAGGATTTAGGGTTGAAAGGAGAGAGAAGCCCAGGCACCGCATGGGATCTGAGCAGTCCTCCACCTCCTAGTCCACGCCATCACTGAGGGGCCCGGGAAAGCTGGTCTCACCTTCTTCCAGGTTCCCCGGGACTGGAAACACAACATGGGACGCGCTGTTCCTATCCTCCGTGACTGTTCCCTGGATGGCACAAAAAAGGAGAAAATGCACTCCCTTCTAAATCACCCATCAGTGTGAATAAGCCCAAATAAGATTCAACCCCACATCTGCCTTCATATTTTGCTCAGAACGATACTAAAGTGAGTGGCCCTCTCTACTAAGCACACACTAGCTGAATGGCGGAGGAAAATAGCTGGGATTGTGCTAATAATGGAGAAGAGTCAAATAATTAAAAACTGCTACAGATAACCTCTCTGAATAAATAACCTACACACGGGAACTGTAAAGTTGATGGTGTGAGCCAAAACCGGTTTGGCTCAGTGGATAGAGCGTTGGTCTGCGGGCTGAAAGGTCCCAGGTTCAATTCTGGTCAAGGGCATGTACCTTGGTTGCAGGCACATCCCTAGTAGGGGGTGTACAAGAGGCAGCTGGTGGATGTTTCTCTCTCATCCATGTTTCTAGCTCTCTATCCCTCTCCCTTCCTCCTGTAAAGAATCAATAAAATATATTTTAAAAATAAATAAATAAATAAAGTTGACGGTGTGTCTTTAGCATTGACATCTGCTTGCTAAACTAGAGTTCCAAAGAGTAAAGATTTCATTTCTCTAGTTCAGTGGAAGAAAAAGCTTTTCCCCAGACCAAGATAGTCTCTAGGAACAGTGACCCAAACCTGTCAAGACTGGGAAGTGGGAGGAGCGGACAGAGAAAGAGTGGCCCAAGGCTTCAAGTCTAGCCATCTTCCAAGTAGGTGGAGGCACTGTGCTCTGCAGCAGAAGACATGGCCCCTCTGGGCTATTTAATGAGTGGAAACATCAGGAAAAGGGTCATGGCATTTCCAAAAACTCACCTGGTGTCTCTTGATGATGTCCTTTAATTTCCCTAGCAGTTTGGGTTCGATTTCGGGGCACAGAAAAATGTTTGGTCGAGACAGGCAATTATTCTGTGGGGAGAAGAAGCAGACAGAGTGAGATTCCGGGGGAGTGTTGGATTCCTGCTGAGGAAAGGAAGATGAGAGGGGGCAGGGTCCTGACCAGTACCTGCACCAAGGACTTTTCGATGGTCATGAACATTTCCACGTTGCGGTCCATGCGTGATGGGTTCTGGAAGTCGTAGCGCCGCCTTATAAAGAGGCAATAATCCAGTGAGTGGTATAGCGGAAGTCAGGGGATCAGGTTAGGGTACGTGACTTTTTTTTTAATATATATTTTTTATTGATATTTTTTTTTACAGAGAGGAAGGGACAAGGAGAGGGATAGAGAGTTAAAAACATCGATGAGAGAGAAACATCCATCAGCTGCCTCCTTCACACCTCCTTCTGGGGATGTGCCCGCTACCAAAGTACACGTCCTTGACCAGAATCGAACCTGAGACCCTTCAGTCCGCAGGCCGACACTATCCACTGAGCCAAACCAGTTAGGGCGGGTACGTGACTTTTTAATATCGGTAACTAGGAGGCTATTGTCAAAACTGCCTAGAATCTGGGGTTTACTGATCTTAACTCACTCTGTACTGAGTCCAAAGGATAAGGCAAAGTTGCAATGCCAACCTAAGAACCCCTTTTCCTCACACACACTGATGCACATACACACACTCAGTCTTGGAGACTATTTTGGCTGACTCCCAGCCATATTTTTGACCTAGCGAAATGTCTACTTAAGCTCTGCCACCCCAGAAAGACCCTGAGGAAAAACCTACTCCAGGAAAATTCCTCTGAACAACATATAAAAAGCATCAAGAGAGGGCATCTCACCATCCCTGGTCACTCTTGAATTTGTAGGCAGCTGCAAGGATGTGGCACAGGGAGCCTCCTGCTTTGAAATCTAGGAAACATTTGATCTACAGAATTGAGACAGGGAAGAAGCATGTAAGCGATACATCCTAAATTCTCTTATAATCCTTTCACAAAAATCCCATGCTAACATGATCTCCCTCTCAAAGCCAGAATTCTTTACCCTCTGTGCTACTGTGTCATGTAGCCTGGAAGAAGGGAGAGAAAGAAGCAAAAATTCACGAAGTCCCACTCTGTGCCAAGCACTTACTGGGTGACTTCACTGACCATTACAGAATGGCCACAGTGTAGTCATGTTAATCGTATGTAGAGATGAAGGAACCGAGATGTTTCAAAGGGTGTGAATTGCTTGGCCAAGTCACAGAGACACCAAGTGACAGAGCCAGGATTTGAACACAAGCCCGTGCAAATCAAAATCTCATCCCCTTCCAACCATGCCACGAGAGTTTCATGCACTGAGCTCACACACTCTGAAATAACCTGTTGCACAAAGTGTTACTAAGACAAAGGGAATGGTAAATTGGGGACTACCGTAGGCCACGGCATCAATATTCTGACCAGGGATAGGGATGGTAAAACATTACCCTAATTTAAAAAATTATGAAATTTACAAAACCCCCTCCCCCTAAAAAAACACAACAACGCCTTCCCCAGTTTGGAGGATCCATCCCCTGGCTTTTGCACTCACCGGCAGTTTAGTGAGCGGTGCGTTGCTGACATGTTTGCCAAAAACTTCTTCCTGAAATTGTAGCAGCTGGACAACCAGGCTGGACAGGGACTTGTTGGTGGGTGGTTCGGCTTGTATATACTGGGGGGAGAGAGGGAAAGAAAAGAAAAATAGACCCCAGATAAACTCCACCATGTCCCTATTTCTTTCCCAGGAGCTCTGGACGCGTCGGGCAGAGAAAAATCGTGTGTTCTCCCCCCACATGTCTAGTTGCTATAAAGAAAACGGCAGAGCCGAAACCGGTGGATAGCGCCTGGGGACCGAAAGGTCCCAGGTTCGATTCTGGTCAAAGGCATGTACATTGGTTGCAGGCACATCCCCAGTAGGAGGCAGCTGATGGATGATTCTCTCTCATCGTCTAACTCTCTGTCCCTCTCTCTTCCTCTCTGTAAAAAATCAACTAGAAAACAAAAACAAAAACAAGAAAACAAAAACAAAACGGCAGAAGGGAGACAGACCCTCTACACCCCTCACTAGGAAGTTGCAACTGCGCTGCCCCAGCCCAGGTGCACCCTGACAATGGATCTCTACCCTGAAGGTTGTGAAATTCTGAAGACCCCTTGAATTCAGGCCAGGGAAGCAATAACTTTGAGGCTCTAAATGAGATAACTGTATTTCTTGGGGTAACTGCCTGGAAGGCCAAGGCTTGCCGTATCATGTGGCTTAAGAAAGAGAGGTAGGGCAAACAGACCGACACGGTTAGTGCATGCTGCTAGTTTCTGCCGGGAACAGGGCACAAACGTCCTCTTCGCAGGCCCTCCAAGATGGGAAGGACCAGCCACCACCTAGCCTAGTGGGAAAGAGCGAGACTCCCTCCGTCTCTTCTGAGGAAACCTGAGCGGAGACAAGGATCCCCCGGCATTCTTAAAAACCCCCCATGCTATGCTACCTCGCATCCGCGCCTTCTGTTCTCATTTAGAACCGAGCCAGCAGGCTAACTTTCTCTTTACCTTTTGACCCCTGTTTCCTCAACCCTAATCACAGAGGGGAGTGCTCCTTCTCCGTGGGAGGCATAAAGAGATCCTTGAAGGAAAAGGTAAGTGACGAAGAGCTCAGAGCTGGAAAGCTGAGCCAGGTCACGGGCGGGCGGTCCATCTCCCCGGGGGTGGAGACTAAGCCCCTAGATTGATCTCCCTTTCAAAAGGTCAAAGGTAGGAGCCTGGGAACCAGAGCCCCAGGCGGAGGAGATGCAGACCAGGCGCAGACCCAGCAGCTGTTTGTCAGGACCCCAGCCCCCGAGCCCTGAGCAGGACCAGAGAGAGGGGCGTTCTCCTCGACCCCTCCTTACACGCTGACAGGCTGCAGAGCCGGGCAGGAGGCACCAGGGAGACAGACCCCTCTCTGGGCGCAGAGAGGAGGCAGGCCAGGCCGGCTGTCTCTGGAGAAAAGCCATATGTTTAGGTGCTCCTTTCCACAGGCCTACAGACAAAGACACCCCCAGGAAGAGGCTCCGTGGGAGAGGCAGGTGAGGCTCCGTCCACCCTTTGTTTAGCACCTTGTCCTCTCCAGGTAAGGAGGCGGGGGGTTGGGGTATAAAGCGTGTGGCCTAGACTCTGAACCCCAAACCATTCAAGGCCGGGTGGCGGGCGGCTTCATTGTGCGGCTGAGCCATGGCGTGGGAAGGAAGGGTGGCTGCCCGGGAACTCCAACCCCGCGGCCCCGGGGGTCCTGCCGCGTGTGGCGGGGGGCGGCGGGGGGACAGGTGACCTCCCGGTGGGGCCTCGTCCGGGCGGATGGAGCGGGAGGGCCTGCTCCGGCCGCGCACAAAGCCCGGGAGGCCGGGCCGCTGGCCCCGTGCGGGGGGCGCTCCGGCGCGCGCGAGGCGGGCACCCCGCGGGGGCGGAGGCGGGGACCCCGCGTCTCCCCGGAAAGAGCAGGCGGGGGGCCGCTGGCACCGCGGCCCGCGGAGCCGGAGGGAAACACGGGGCGGAGGGCGCGGCGGCGGCGGCGGCGGCGGGGGATGCGGTCCGAGGCCGGAGGGCGCGCGGGGCGGCCCGGGGCCGCGGCCGCCGGAGGGGGGGCCGGAGCCCGGCGCTGCGGGCCCGCGGGGTCCCTTTGTCCCGCCCCCGGCCGCGCCGCCGGCCGCGTACCTTCTTGTAGTTCTTGCCGAGCCAGAGCCGCACGTTGTCGAACTGGGTCACCGTGTCCGCGGCCTCGTAGTACTTCACGTTGGGGCCGCCGTCCTTCTTCCGCACCGCCATCTTCTCGGGCTCGGGCCCCGCCGCCGCCGCCGCCCCGCTCCGCGCAGCTCCCGCCTCCTCCGCCGCCTCCGCCCGCCTCCCGCCGCCGCGGCCGCCGCCGCCCGCCGTCTGCCGCCCGGCGCGCGCAGCGACCCCTGCCGGCGGCCGGGCGCGGGGCGCGGGGCGCGGGCGCGGGGCCCTCCCCGGCGGCCTCCCCGGCGGCGGCGGCCTGGGCGCGGGGGCTGCTCCCCGGCCGGCGCCCGCCCCGGAGGGCGCCCCGCACCTTGTCCTTCCCGCCTCTCAGCCCGGGCAGCGGCTCCTCTCTACTCCCCCCGGGCCGTCCCCTCGTACCCTCCCCTCTACCTTCCCCTCGAACCCAATGCCCGGAGCCCCAGACCCCGTCCCCAGGGTGCCCCTGCCTTTCCTCCGCCCCCGGGAGCTGCCCGAGGAAACGCTCCCCGAGTCTCCCCGCCCCTAATGCCCCGACCCAGCAGCACCCCCTTCTCACTCCTGGGTCCGGGGGAGAGGTCCCCAGGCCGCCACCCCCGGGGCCAGCCACTGCCCCCCAACTGCTTTCTGTGCAGGCAGCGCCGTCGCCCCCAAATAGCTTTGCGCTCCTCCGTGAGACCGCGAGTCTTGGCTGGGCGGGTGGCCCTCCCACCCTGTCCCCCGGCCCCGGGCTGTCCCCCTCGGAGCGGCGCGGAGGGGGTGGGAGCGGGCGGGGCGCGGGTCTGGGCGGGCGCTCTCGGGCGGGCGGATCCTTCTGTAAGCGCGGAGCGGCCCGCAGTTTTGGGAGTCACGGTGGCCGAGTGGTTAAGGCGTTGGACTCGAAATCCAATGGGGTTTCCCCGCACAGGTTCGAATCCTGTTCGTGACGGCCGCTTTTTTCCTCCCCTTCAAGGCGTGGAAAGGAAAGCCCCTGTTTTCGCACAGGTCTTCCGTGCACTTACCTTTCTGCCTCGGAAATAGAAGCCGGGAGGTCGTTCAGCCCTTCGGCTTGGGGGGATGAGGTGATCTCGGGGAGCTTGTTAACCACGGCCGTATGGGCTGCTAGAGGACAAGCCACTTTCAGGATTCTGTAACTGCAGGTTTGCTAGCTGAACTTGGACACGGTCTCATGCTTGTGGTAGGGAACAGGGAAGGATTTGAAGAATGGCTAAGTTGTGTTTGGGAATGTGAATACCTGGTGTGTTGTAATAATCACAACTGGGGTTTCCAGGAAAAGAGGCACTGTGGATTTGGGGACCAGAAGCCACGTCTGGTGGGTCTGATTACAAACGAACACCCAGGAAGCCGGGCGTGCTCTCATTGGGATTTCCCCGAAGAGGTGCACCTCGCGTGCCACAGGGCTCGGGGTGGAGCCCATTGAAACAAACAGCGCAGCCTCGCTGGAGCTAGGGTGACTATCACGTTTACTGAGTGCCCATCGTGTGCCAGGCACTGTTCTAAATTCCCCACGTGTTCGCCGAGATAGGGAATCACTCCCTTCTCAAACCTGTACTCGCCTCACTCAGTTCTTCCTACCCCCCCCCCCCCCCCATTTCTGATTGTGGGGAATGGGAGGATGTTCTTTTTGTATTTCAGTTGCACACCACCGCCTTCTCCAAGAAGGACCCCCCAGCCCTAACTGGTTTGGCTCTATTAGAGCGTCAGTCTGCGAACTCAAGAGTCCCGGGTTCGATTCCGGTTGCGGGCACACCCCCCCCCCCCATAGGGGGAGTGCAAGAGGCAGCTGATCGATGACTCTCTCGTCGTTTCTAACTCTCTATTCCTCTCTCATTCTCTCTGTAAAGAGAAGGATCCCCAAAGGGGTTCATACCATTGCTCATGCTGTTCTTCCCACGCTTGCCACACCACCGTCCCCTCCCCACCCCCCACTCCCACCCCCACCGTAGTCTCTTTCCATGCTGTACACCGGTTTGCTCTTCCCCCTTGAGGCGGGAACCTTTCCTTCTACCACCACCGTTCATTAGATGGCATGCAAGGAATATCTTCAAATCTGCCCGCTTTTCTCAGGGTTGAGTGCAGGCTGGACCCACCACTAGCTGGAGCCTTCATTTGGAAAGTAGGGGTTCCTGTGAGAACTACACGCATTACATGTAAAACTGTGCTGCAGCCTGCACGCTGTAGCCGGAAACATTACAACTTCCCAGAGCTGCCCGTGGCTCAGTGGATAGAGCGTGGGCCTGCAGCCTGAAGAGTTGTGGGTTTGATTCCGGTCAAGGGCACATGCCCAAGAGAACGGATCAATGGTTCTCTTTCATCATTAATGTTTCCATCTCTCTCACTCTCTCCCTTCCTCTCTGAAATCAATTATATATATATATATATATATATATATATATATATATATATATATATATATATTTTTTTTTTTTTTTTTTTCCCCACAGAGGGAAAAGGGATAGAGTTAGAAACATCGATGAGAGAGAAACATCGATTAGCTGCCTCCTGCACACCCCCCACGGGGGATGTGCCTGCAACCAAGCCCTTAACCAGAATCAAACCTGGGACCCTTCAGTCCACAGACCAACGCTCTATCCAACAGCCAAACCAGTTCCAGCAATAAAAATATATTTAAAAAAGACAACTCTCCAAAAAACAAAACAAAACAAAACAACAACTCTCCATAGCTGCTTTTGACCTCTTTTCTCTCACCACTCTTCCTTATTTCCTACTTCCATCCACTGGCATTATTTTAGTTCTTGTTATAGCATTTGTCCGTGTTCATGCTGTTCTCTGCCTGAAAGAATCTTTCTTAGCCTCACCTTCTACTCAGTCTCCACTTAAATATCAATTCTCTAACCACTTGTCGCCCACCATGTCCTATGCCCTAATCTTATTATGTGGATTGTTTCTTCTGTAGAATATAAACTCTTGGCACCTATAAGCTCTTCAATAAGAAAAAAAAAATATTGAGTAAATGGATGCTTCCCCCCCCCCATTTTTTTAATTAAGGTATTATATGGGTACATATCTTACCATTGCCCCCCCACCCCACTCCCATACATGCCCTCACCCCCAGAGTTTTGCGTCCATTGGTTATGCTTATATGCATGCACACAAGTCTTTCGATTGCTCTATCTCCCCACCTCTCTAAATGGATGCTTTTTACAGTGGTTACGTGTGTGTACGTGTTTTAGTCTTCACTCAGACTGTACTATAAGCTTCTTGGGATTTAGGATTGTATTTTATTTGTATCTACTCTACTAAGTCTTACATGTAGATTTGATCAAATATATACTGTCATACTACCTAACAGATTCAGTACTTGGCTTCCCACTGAATGCCATTTTGCGCATGCTCTCCGACTTAAACATCTGGAGAGCCAGCACCAATATTGACCAGCAGAGGGCAACCGACAACTATGCTGTGAAAGGAAGAAGGCCCCACGGTTTTATAAAATGGAGGATCTGGACCGAGAATGGGAAGCGGGCAGAGGTGGTGTGGTACTTAGGAAATCTGCTCTCAAATGCTTCCCTTGTAACTTTCGGGGTGAGAGACAAGGCTTCCAATCCTCATGAACAGTGGTAGATAAGTTCACATTGTTACCATCCCACAGCCAGCCGTCCCCAGTTCTTTCATCCTCCTTTATCCCAACAAGTCCTGTCTCTTTCTTTGCGTTGCATAATCAGACCTCCCTCCCCATTTTTACATCCTACCCACTGGCATTCTTTTTAGTTTCTTCTGGTTTGGTATTTGGCCTTGCTTATCTACCTTTGAATTACCTTCTCACCTAGGCTTGCAATACCACTCATTTCAATCTCCTAAGGAAACTTCTACAAGTACCCTTCCATAATATATTCAAATTCTCCTAATCTGCTAGATCAGTCTTCTTCTTTTTTTAAATTTTTATTTATTTACTTTGAAAAATATATAGTCTATTGATTTTTCACAGAGAGAAAGGGAGAAGGACAGAGTTAGAAACATTGATGAGAGAGAACCATCAATCAGCTGCCTCCTGCACACTCCCCACTAGGGATGTGCCCAAAATCAGGGTACTGGTAGATGCCCTTGACCGCAATTGGACCTGGGACCCTTCAGTCCGCAGGCCAATGTTCTATCCACTGAGCCAAACCAGTTAGGGCTTTATTTTTTTATAATGGATCTATCCCTTTAATTCAGAACAAAACTACATCTGACATGAATCACATTTTTACTTTCTTTTATTGTTTTAATAAAATGCATACACTCTTCCTCCAGCTTCACATTATCTTAACAACCCTGTGGTAGAAATCTGTGCTATGTTTGAAACCATTGATTTCTTAATGGGCTTCAGAGACACTGTACTCGTTTTTTCTCTTAGAACAGCGATTTTCAACCTCTTCCCTCTTGTGGCACACATCAAATTTAGTGTGACTAAAATTCTACGGCACACTAAAAAAAATATGTTTTTGGCCGCTCTGATCCAAAAAGAAGGTATAATTTGATTCATTCACACCAAATGGTTATTGTTGTGTTGGATGTTGTCATCTTTTATTTTTATTTCTTTATTTTTTTAAAGACAATTTTTAATTTATTTTTATTTCTTTAATATATTTTATTGATTTTGTACAGAGAGAAAGGGAGATAGTTAGAAACATCGATGAGAGAGAGTCATCGATCAGCTGCCCCTTGCACACCCCCCACCGGGGATATGCCCTTACATGTGGGAGGAGCACAAGGCTGTGAATCTGCCAGGTTTTGGGTAAGTGTATTTCGTCATTTTTTTTCTTTTTTAAAATACATGCCCTTGACCAGAATCGAACCCGGGTACCTTCAGTCCCCAAGCCGACGCTCTATCCATTGACCCAAACCGGTCTTGGCTCATCTTTTATTTTTATTGACAATCTAAGGCAAAAGAGATCAGTGCCCTTTGACTAAATAGTCAGGTACTGCATGTTTTAAAAATTTTTGAGGGGCCAAAACCGGTTTGGTTCAGTGGTAGAGCGTCAGTCTGCCGACAGAAGGGTCCCAGCCCAGGTTCGATTTCTGTCAGGGGCATGTACATTGGTTGCAGGCACATGTACATTGGTTGCGAG